TCATATTCCTGTAATTACTACGGATAATTATTTTGGTAGAGAGGAAATAATATATTAAAATTAATCCATTTATCTTTATCACTTTCAGGGGCCGTTTATCAAACACTTAATCGTTAAGTACTTACCGATAAAATTTAACACTATTATGTACTTACCGGGTAAGATTTTAGTCCGCCAAAACGACGTAGTATACAACAATTTATTCAGTAAGCACTTACCGTGGTAAGAATCGTTGCCCTCACTTATCGGGTAAGACTCTTGATCCTTGTCTCGTTCTTACCGGGTAAGCGTTTGGTAAACGACCCCTTAATCTTATGTCACCAAAGAATTACACTTAAGAATATAAGTAGTCTACTGTATCACTTATTTATAAATGTTTCTTTGAAGTCGTGGCGTATTTTTGGGATATTGCTCAACCTTTGAGTCAATAACGAAGATATTCAAACCTTTTGGGGTGTAAATTGTATAAACATTGGGTGTTTGTATTTCAATGGTTTATATTGACTTTTGTTGACGAATCATATGAGTTGTTGAGCTATTGACTTGATTTTATCTCAAGTGAGTTTTGGGGACATTTGTCCGGTTTAATTACTCAATGTTGAGTTTTGGACGTGTATTGCATTTATTGTATATTTATTTGGAAATTACATAATTTGAGTGTGTTGGGTATTTATTTAGAGTCATATGAGTTTAGACTGTAATGCAATTGATCCATCGACATACGTGTCAGTCATGTGATGAGTTAGGAGTTTTGATGATCTCACCTGAGAGTCTGAGACCAGTGCTCGAGTAAGCATGGTGGTTGTATCGATATCACGGAGAGGGACCATGTGGGATTGGACTTCGAGACCGCGGTTACTGCGGAGGTGAACTCAAAATGAGCCCGACTTCGAGACCTTTGTTTTGAGGCTTTTGATCGATTGAGTAGGCAATAAGAACTTTAGCCTTGAAGTGAAACGCCAAGGCACTATGATTATTGAGTCTTGAGGTGCTACCTGGTGGGGTAGGCACCAAGGACACCCGGTGGGGTAGGCACCAAGGGAATGAGCCTTGATGTGCTACTTCAATGAGTAGACACCAAGGTCAATTGAATCTTGAGGTGCTACTCTATAACGTTGATGTATGACTTACTTTATGTTCGCCATATTCAATGGATATGGGTCTCCGAGTCACCGATATGTGTTATTTTTAGATAGTGTATTATCCATGTTTTTGGTGTTGTTTTCGGTTTGGAGAGTATCCATAATTTATGGTTTTGGTATATTGGATCTTATCCATGTTTTGATGTTTTGAATAATAGAGTTCTATCCATGTTTTTAATATTTGATAACTAAACCTTATTCGCATCTTGTGTGAGTATTGGATTTTGGTTTCATGTTAAAATGTATGTTTTAGTTGATGGGATCTCATCAGGAAAATGGTGGGTTTTGGTAAAGAAATTGCTTTTATACCAAATGTTTTTCCTTTTGGAAATGATGATTTAAATAACATTCTTTCAGTTTTACCGTTATATATTAATGATGGATTTTTTTTTTGAACTCACTAGGCATTAAGCCTAATCCTTTTAATTTCGCCGGCATCTATATCATGTCCTTGTTAGAGAAAGTAATAGCGACATTGTAATAAGTTGGGTGCTAGTTAGAAGCACGAAAATGAATGAATTAATTGGGTTTAGGGTTTAGGAAGAAGAAAGGCTAAAAAGACTAAATTACCCTCATGTGACGTGTATTTACATTCACATAACTAAAACTCTTTTAACATTTTTAAACTGAAAGACCAGATTGTCATGAAAAGTAGAAGTTAGGAACCACCAATATACTTAACATGTTTAATGCACTCGATCCAAAATTTAGTTATATTACATGTACCAAGAATATAATTCACTCTTCTTTACAAATATAGAAAATTTGACCCGTTTATTGCAAAAATAGTGGCCAATGTAGAATATTTTAAACTTTCTTCATAAGTATCTGGGGCTAAGAATGAAAATACTGAAACTTTGAACAGAAAGGCGTAGGCACGCAAGTCATCTTCTTCACCTGCCTTACTAGTTATGACCAGGGTTAAAACCGAGCTAATCCAACGCCATTGATGCTCCCATACAACTTGAATTCTAGCCAAATTTAATAAAATCTACAATTTTTTAGTATATGTATACTATATTATAAAACATTTGACAAAAACTCTTAAAAATCATTTTTATGCATAAAGTATTATTGATGCATATTACTTAGAATTCAAGATCACAAGTAAATTGTGCATAAGTACAACTTATCAAAACTTCATTTTGAATTTGTGTAACTAACTATAGATAAACATAATCAAATACGGGCTAGATATCTCATTTTGAATATAAAAAATCTAAAATATAACTAGAATAATCATTAGTTATTACAAAATACTTAATTATTATCTTTATAAAAATTATGTTATTAGACGATAAATAAATTACTTCGTTATTAAATTATAAATAAAATAGTGAATTAAAAAAATTACACAAAAAACCAGAACTTTAAATAATAAATTTGATACTAATTTCGATATATTTTTTTTCCAAATTTCTATGATATTTTTAAATTTATATTTTATTCAAAAATAAAAACATTATCGCTTTCTCAAAACCACTAAAAATCATATTATATCGACATAGATAAATAATAAAATGAAACATTAAAATTGAGATATATCTCGCTATATTATGCGAGCACCATTCTAGTTATAAACTAAATCATCTTTATTTACTCTTAATTTAACATAACACGATCTATGTTGGATCTGCGAATCCAGAAAAAAAAACCACCATCAAACAATGGTGGTAGTCGAATTTGACAGTTTTAAACCGAAATTTGGATTATAACAATTTGATCATTCGATAAGAAACATAAATGACAAAGCCAACCGTAAATTAACCATTGATTTAAAAATATTTTTCAAAAATTAACATTTTTGTGTGAAAAATATTTAAAAAACAGATTTAAAGTGTATTTGAATAACCCAAATAGAGATTTTAAAGTGACAAAAAAAATCTTCAAACAACAATTTTTATATGTTTAAAATTTGATTTGTGAGAAAAAAAATTGGGACCAATTTTGGTCGGGACCGGGCTTTGTACATGAAGAACAGGCCGAGTGTTTTTGGTCGGGACTGGACCAGTTACAATGAGACCAGTTACAAAAGAAAAATCACGGTTCGAGACTGATTTTGGCCAACGAGAGACCGTTTTTTGGCCATCTCACATGAGTATTTCAGTGACTTGGCAAAAATCACCCTTTACATTTTGAATAAAGTTTTAGGGGTTAATTTGGTCATCTTTCAAACTACCTTTTAATAAAATACTAACTTCCAAAATAAATTTTGCATCCTCTCCAAAAAAAAAATATATTCTATATTTCTATTTATTTCAAAATAAATTTTGTTGATGTATTCAAATATAAATATTTTTTTGGTATATAATATGTAAAGTTTTAAATATTTAAATACTCAGGTGAACAGTTGAAGCATTAACCGGTTACCATGCTGATGTGGCGAGTGATGGAATGAAATCGAGTTGAATAGCAAATAATACTAAGTTGTATACCACATCACTCGCCACATCAGCATGATAACCGACTAATGCTTCAACTTGTTACCCGAGTACTTAAATGTTTATAACTTTAAATCTTAGGTACCAAAATGTAAGTTTTAAAAGTACGTTACCCAAAATATGAATCAAGTTAAAGTACATTACTTTTTCATGCAATTTACCCTTGTGTTAAAACTAAACTTTATCTAAAAACCCCAAAAAGCTTTATTTTTTTCCATTTTTTAGATTTAGCCATAGATGATCTCATAAACCAACTGTCTTTATCTTGGTAACTGGGTTTTACTGTCACACACCAAAAACATCTTAAACAACTTATTATAACATTTTTATATTTGACACACAATAGTTTTGGTAGCATACACTTAGATTCCATAAAATAATTTATTATATATCAGATAGATATATTAACATCCTATAAATTCAATTTTGTTATAAATATCTGACGTATAATAATTCAATTGATAAATAGATGAAATGAGTTTATGTAAATAATGTATACTATTTAAAATGCAAAGCAACCCATATTCATATTTTCTATAACAAAACAACGTTATATCAGTAAACATAAATCGACCATTCATTTCGTCCTGTATATGACATTTCAAATCAATCATATGGGATCTTACAAAAACACATTCTCATGTTATGATGTTCCAAAGATCCAACATTTGATAGCAACATACCTCATTTAGTAATTTTGATCTTCAAAAAGACTAGGTTTTTTTGGTACAACAAAAGATAGTATGCATATATATGTCGATCGTACACGTGGCCGGATATGATTGGTTATGGATAAGAGCATCTACAATGTAGGTTCTTATAAGAACGTTCTTTTTACACCTTACGTTGCCACCTCATCTCACTCTCTTAAAATTCCACAATGGTAGTGTTTATAGGAACCTGTTTTTAATGGGTTCAACTGATTTTTTTTTAACATTTAATAATTGTTGTAAAGCCAAAAAAAAATAAAATAAAAAACAAGGAAATTATGATAACCTCAGACCAATCAATCGAATATTGATTAATACGTAATCAATTCACACAATTTTTATGATAAAAACTAAAGTTTTTGTAAAGAGAACCACAAAGGTGGTATCTGATTGGTTTGAGCTTGAACTCCAAAGTTCTAAAGTGTCTGGAGGTCCCATATTCAAATCAAAGGAGGAATAAAAGTCCCCTTATAGCCACGGAAAACCAACAGTGCAGGTGGGTCATCCTGAAATTAACCGACTCACATAACAAGCTGAATATCCAGGTTAATAAAAAAAATATTTTCACTTTTTACTGGTAAAAACATTGCATGGAATATCATCTAAGCTCTTCCCCCGCCCCCACCCAACCCTAGACCCAACACTAAACAAAAACACACTTGCCATTGCCGGTGGCGGACCCCTTCATTCTAAACCCAATCATTGATATCACTCTCCTATTCCCCTCTCAATTCTTGCTGGCAAACAACACTCTCGTCTTCTTCTTCCTCCTCCAAATTTCCCTTAAACCCTATCCCCTACCGCCCAATTTCAACAAATCACCAACTATCCACCAAAATCATGATTCTTGAACAATTCCCACTTTCAATCTTCCTTCTTACCCTCTTCGTCTTCTCAATTCAACCCCATTTCTGCCTTTCAGCTTCGCAAGAATCGCCAACTATCTACCAAATCCTCAAATCGAATGGATTGCCCATGGGTTTGTTCCCAAAAGGCGTCACCAACTTCAGCTTCGATGATTCCGGCCGATTCCAGGTCTACTTGGATCAAGCTTGTAATGCCAAGTTTGAAGACGAATTGCACTATGATCGGAATGTTTCCGGCAATCTGACGTTTGGTCAGATCGGAGAATTGAAGGGGATTTCAGCCAAAGATTTGTTTTTGTGGTTTTCTGTGAAGGAAATCTGGGTTGATGTACCCAGTTCTGGATTGATTTACTTTGATGTGGGTGTTGTTTCCAAACAGTTTTCTTTATCTTCATTCGAAACTCCAAGAGATTGTTTGGCTTCCCCTGTTCCTAAGGTAAACTAAGACCTTATGCTTGTTCATATGTTTGACTTTCTTTTAGTTGTTATTTTGACTTCATGTTTTTGGGTTTATTGAATTGGGTACTGAATTCTTGATCATGAATGTGTTTTGGAGTTCTCAAATGCTGGTTTCCATGTTCTTTCATTGGGTTTTAAGTTTCTCAATCTGGGTTCCTTTTGTTCATGGTTTTTGGGGGTGGATTCAGGTTTTGCAGTTTGGGATAGACAATGAAGATGATTGCGTGTTTGTTTGCATAGTTCTTGTATTGTTTCATGGCAGAAACTCTGGTTTTCAAGCAATTCTGTTTCTGTTTTTGAGTTAAATTTCATACTTTTGGGATGTTGGAATGGTGAATTTGAGGGATGAATCAAGAAATCTCCTGCAATTCTCTTTCTGTTTTGAGTTAGATTTCATACTTTTGGGATTTTGGTAGGTGAAATTTGAGCCTTAAATCAAGAAATCTTTTGCAATCAATTTCATACTTTTGGGATTTTGAAAGGTGAATTTGAGGGATGGATCAAGAAATCTTTAGCAATTCTCCTGGTTTTCTGTACAGATTGACCATAAACTTCTAACCTTTTTGCTTCTGATATGCAGATTCTTTCAAGAAAGCTCGAACACGATGAACCCAATAATCAAGAACCATCAAGGGAAGTCTTATGAAATCGAGCTTAAAAAGGGTACTTAAAAAGATGGTTCGAATCGGCACAATTTCTCAATCAAGTTATGGGTATTTCCATATCTTGTATGTATATGTTTTAAAGTCCAAAAGATGTTAGTTTAGCTGGTTCTATGCTTCATCGCGGGTGTGCTTTCTTTTCGATTTTCTTTCTGTAGTATATGCAAACTTGTTCAAAAATGGTTGAAATGGAGGAGAAATACACACGACACAATGTAGAAGCAACCGAAAGCAAGAGAAGTGTAAGTTATCATGCAGGCTGGAAGCAAGGGGGATCATACAGGTTCTTTTTTGATTCTTGAATTCATTATGAATATGGACATAAAAGTATTTAAAGTTTTGGTTTATATATAGTCTATTTGAAGTTATCGGTTGAAGAACTCTTAGTTCTTTTGATCGAAGAAATAAGAATCAAGTTCGATTTGGATCGTGTTTGCCTTTGTATTGTTCGTTTCGTGTTTCTTGAATTCGTTCTTGTGACACCGACTCCTAAAACCTCGGTTTTTCTAGGTTGTGTCTGGTACCCGGGACAGGACGGGATGAAACAGTACAAAACTAGAATAGGCTGAACAAAAATAGGGAGATTGACAAGGTTGATAAATTACAAAACTACCCATGACAAATTAAAACCCTAAAATCTTTCACAAGTTTTTCATCCGCCTATCTCACACTAGTCCATCCAGTCCCATTAAGCTATCTCCAGTTCCGTCTGCATACCATATGCATCGTAAAGGCCTAGTAGGCATGACTGAACTGAATAAATATCGTTTGTTATGTTGTGATCACCCGTAATGCGAGCCGACTAATCCCAGGGCGACCACCTGTTTTACAAATAGCCCGGAGTCACCCATTTGAACCTTCATGGCCATAAGGGGATTTTTATTCCTCCTTGGATTTGAACCTGAGACCTCCTAGTACTTTTGACCTTTGAAGTCAAGCTCAAACCAATCAAACACCACCCTTGTGAGGTTGTTTTCAGATATTAAAATAAGCAAATTTGGTTAAGCAATTGGCTTTTTATGATTGTAAGTTAGAAAGGAGATTCCCTTTTGTTGGTATGGTTTTCATATGGACCCTCTTGGGTCATTTTTATTCTCCTTGGAGAAATCTTTTTTGGGGTTTAAATCAAAGTGGCAAAGGGCCTTTTTAGGCTTAGGTAGCAAGATATGGAAGAAAAGGGTAAATGTTTTTTTTTTTAGTTGTTTACTAAACGTTTAAAGGGTAAGTATTTATTTGCAAAAGTCACTGCTCTCACTTTGTCTTATCGGGTATGTAACATTTTCGGTTATCAAAATGGATTGTTGGTTAGCGTCCCTTATCGATGAGTGCTAACAGGGTAAGAGTCTTCTTCTTCACTTATCGGGTAAGATTTTTGGTTCTTATGATACTCATCCGATAAACATTTGATAAACATACCCTAAGTTTATTTTACTGATGGAACAATTTTGAATATATTATGGTACTCGCACAATGCAGAGAGTTACATCTCGATTTTAATGTTTCGTTTTATTTTTGTCTCAATCGATGATATAATACGGTTTTATGTGTTTTTTATAAAACAATAATGTTTTTATTTTTAAATAAAATATAAATATGAAGATATCATAAAAAATAAAAAAATATATTGATTTTAGTACCAAACTAACTATTTAAAAAAATATTTTATTTTTGGTTTAATGATATAATTTTTTATAAAAATAATAACCAAGTATTTTGTTAAAACTCAACGATTATTCTAATTATATTTTAGATTTTTTATATTTAAAATGAAATGTTTATTCTCTATTTGATTATGTTTATCTGCAGTTAGTTTTCCTGATTTAAACATGAAACCTTAATAAGTTGTACTTATGCATAATTTATTTCGTAATCTTAAATTTTAAGTAATATACATCAATAAACAATATTTTATAGTTTATACATGAAAAATAATTTTAAAAAAAGTTTTTATCAAATACTTTATATTATTAATATAGTTTGAATTATATCACTCCATGAAATATGAATGATGGGACTTACTAAAAAATTAACCATATATCTCTCTAGTTAAAATAACCTTTATGGGCCCAACAAGTTTTGTCATGGCCCATATTTTAAAAAGTGGTTAATGGGCTTTCTCAAGAAGAGTAAGTAATTTTTCCTTGACTCATATATCGATCATTTTTTTGGACCTTATTAACAAAAGAGATACGACAATACATTATAGTTAGCTCTGCATCAATCAAGAACGCCTAAGGAATTCTTGTAATACATTTGTTCCAACTTTTAATCCTTTTTTCGGATTATGTGTCGTAAAATAGTTTTGTGTGAGAAAATGTCTTAGTTTTTTTAAAGAGAAATAAATTACTGAAAAATAAAGGAATGAATATAAAAACAACCAAAGCTTTTGCAAGGTGTAGAATTAACCCGAAATTCAAACCTTCTGTGTATGATTTCATGGGGATCGTTTAAAGTATAATATCAAACTAAAAGCAAAAACACATTTCATTTCAATGAACCCAATCGATCTCGACGGTACCTTTTTTTACAGAATGTTAATAACTTCCAAAATCCATTTCGGAGAATGGGGTCAGAAATCCATAATAGAGTCTGACCACAATGACCGAATTCCTGTTTTATTAACAGGATTTATCACTACTGTGGATATGTATGGTTAACTCTTCTTTTTCTTATTTTAATCCCGAAAAAGATTTGATTTTGTATTATAAGATGACAAGATTCAAGTTTTATATAAAAGCGTATACAGATATATCGTACAAAGAGTTTTTTTTTATGATTAACGAATGTTATATATGGATCAACATGTGTTTTAAGTTGGGCTCAGAAAAAAAGTGAACTACATCGGTTGGTGAACTCTTATATATCAATGTATTTGTCTATCCTTTTTCTTAAACTTTTAGAGTGAACTTCAAATTTGGTCCTTGTGATTCTTTGAAATTAACATTTCTTATCCTTACAGTTTCGAAATTACAAATTAAAATTACTATCGTGGTTTATAAAAACATCTGAATTTGATCCATCCTCTAATGGTTGTTAAAAGAATTCGTTAAATGTGGGGTTCGTCCTTCAATCGAATTTTTGTTTTTTACTCGATCAAAAACTTCAAGGACCAAAATCATAAAATAGATCTTGATCGAGTAAAAGACAAAATAAAAAATAACGAAAATGTTTCTCATTTAACAAAAAAAAATTAACTGCCGTTAGAGATATGGACCAAATTTAAACATTTTTACAAACTATGATAACCATATTGTAAGTTTGAAAATATATGGTCGAAAGATGTTAAGCATACTCTGAATCATTAAGAGGTGAATCTTGTTTGATAAAAAAAAATGTCTCTTAATGATTCTAAAACACTCTGAATGATTTTGTATCCTGGACCTCCCTTAATTAACCATTCAACACCCTAATTTCGTTGCAAATAATTATCAAACAATTATATTTCATTTTGCACTATATCATAAGAATCTTTTGACCATTCTAATCATTTAATCATTTTACATTAAACCATAACTGATACTGAAAAATTGAACTTATACTTTCAATATATAAAACCAATCTTAGCAATATGTGTTGTTTTAGGTTTTTGTATCTATATATTTTCTAAACAATTTCCATAACTTTAGTTTGTTTAATTATATTAAAAAATAAAAGTAGGGAGAAACAAACAAGTGATTCCATTAGGTGGCAAAATTTTGTAAAGATACTCCTCACATGGGTCTTGACTTATACTTTTGGTTTTGTAATCCTCAATTCTCCATATTAATGCAACCTCTACTCTTCATTATACATAACTAACACACACACACATACATACATACATACATACATACATACATACATACATACATACATACATACATACATACATACATACATACATACACACATAGTCACATACACACATACACACATACATACACACACACATACATACACACACACACACATATATATATATATATATATATATATATATACTAAAAGGGTACTTGTGATATATACATCTTAATTTTAGTGTTTTGTCTTATTTTTTGTCTCTGTTAATATTATAGCACGGTTTTATATGGTTTTGATAAAACGATAACGTTTTTATGCTTGAATAAAATATAAATTCGATATTAGTATTTTAGGTTAACGATTTAAAAGTTCATGTTTTTTTATGTGATTTCTTTATTTCAAATTTTTATTATAGTTTAATATAGATTTAATAAAAAAGTAATTTATATTCGGTTTAATAATATAATTTTTTTATAAAGATAATATTAAGTGTTATGTTAGAATTCTATGATTATTCTAATTATATAATTCTTATATTTAAAATTAGATGTTTATCATGTATTTGATTTTGTTTATCTGTAGTTAATTAAATGAATTTAAATAGAGTTTTAATAAGTTGTACTTACGGATAATTTAATTTTAATATTGAATTTTAAGTAATATGTGTCAATAAACAGTATTTGCATAAAAAATGATTTTAAGAGTTTTTTGTCAAATATTTTGTAATATAGTATACTATAGATATGTGTGTATGTGTATCAAAGTTTTAAATATATCTGATTAAGTTCAAATGAAAAGACGGTTAATTTGCAAAAAAAAATTCTAATGTCATACATGATTACATGTGATGCGAACACGTAATCATATGTGATTAAACACATGCTGGCTTAAGTTGAGCAGCATATAGCGAACGACCTTCCCCATGACATTTTGGTCGTGTTCACCAAGTCGACCGTGTCCATTTTGAGCGTATTTAATCATATATAACTACTTGCTCCGTTGTTCGTATCACTTGTAATCATATACGATATTAAAACTTTTCACATTCTCGTAAATTGATCATCTTTTCATCTTCTTATATGATACTCCCTACATATTTACAGCCTATCTTCTAGAGATGAGATGAAAATACAACTACAAACTTCTGCCCTGCCCTAGCTCCACATACATACATACACACACACACACACACATACATACATACATACATACATACATACATACATGCAAGAATGCATGCATACATACATACATATTATACTCATACATACACGTAAATTGTACTCAATAAATTTTAATCAATGGAGTTGGACTTTTTTTTCAAGAGATGCAAGTTTTACACATATTTATCTTCTTATATTTAATATACTTAAATAATTATAAATTGAACAGTTAAGATTTTTTAAATAATGTCATTGATTTTTTTTAAAAAAAATATTCCTAATAAAATAATTTATTTTTCAAATGTATGATATATGGTCATACTCATACCACAAAAACTGAATATATTATATATATATACACAGATGTATGTCTAGTTGGTATCCTTAATTGTCGTTTACTTCTTAATGATTCAATTATATAGAATTTTTCCTATCTAGATATATAGCACAAATAAACATAAAATATAATATATATACATATATATACACACATATAGGGTTGAGTTCATATGAGACAAAAGGTTTTTCGTGAGACCCGTAAGACCAATTTATATTTATTGATCAACTTTATAAGCTAATGATCTAATGGTCTAAAGTTGCATGGTGGTAATTTTGTAATTATTGAGAAGTCTCATGGCAATTTTGTGATTATGAATGTTCAGATTGTAGATCTAATCCAAGGGTTGAAAATTGGTCTTACGGGTCTCACGAAAAACCATTGGTCTCACATGATCCCAAATCTATACATATATATTTGTATTGGTCTGATTTTTTGTTTAATTTTAAAAAAACAAACACACAAGATTAAGAAGTTGACAACCATCGAATAAGTACAAAGAACCTAATCACTTATATCCATCGGCTCGATGGTTTAACTTTACTTTCACTACTTTGGTCCCAAAAAAAGTTCGTTTTGTAATTTCTTGTTGTCTTAATTTAAATAGAATTTATTTCAGGTTTTGATGTAAATATATGTATATATGCACTAGGGGACTTTTTTTTAAGAACTCTCTAGTTCATGAGATTTTTTGAGAACCGATACATTATATGTTATTTCATATGATTTTTTCCATTTATGATTAGAATTTAATGAAATATTTAACATATATTTGTTTCATAATTTATTTGTTTCATATGTACTCGGTTCACAATTTAACACTTTTTGATATGTTTGTGAAACAAAAGATACATGTAAAAAATTTTACATTGTAAAACAAATACACATGGAAGAAACATAATCGTGAAACAAGTATACATTTAAATCTTATATTTATATAGAAAAAAAATCAAGTGAAACAATTAAAACTTTAAAATAAAAGTTCTCACGTATGTTACAAATTTAAAAAATTTCAAATGATTAATCCCATATATATATATATATATATATATATGTGTGTGTGTGTGTGTGTAGGTGAAAGATCACGTGAGAAAGATCGAGAGTTAAGGTGAGAAACATAAGAAAAGATCTGAACCATTGATCACCTATAATTTAAACCCACACATGAATCATGATTGATACAATGATTGATCTGGTGGATCCCATCCTAATATGTATCCAATGGTAGAGATTTCTTCTTACGCTTCTCACGTTACCCATTTTTCTCACCAAAACCCAACCCCCCCACACACACACATATATATATATATATATATGTGTGTGTTATATATATATATATATATATATGTGTGTGTGTATATATATATATATATACATACATATTTATGGGAAGAGTTGATTCTGTGAAACCAAAGTCCCAATTAATTTTCTTGATTAATTACTACAAAGTGATTAATAATATATTATATAATTAATTACTTCAAAAAATGTATATATTACTTAAAAACACTTGTAGTAATCATCAAAAATGTAAACAAAAACACATCTGAATAAATATGTAGAAAACTTGCAAAAGTGAGACCATCTTTTAACCACTTCTGGATTCTACAAATTCAACCTATAGATATAGAAATACTTACCATCCCAACCCAATTAAGCCACCACCACTGTAAGCATTTTCCAGTTTTGTACACATGATTATACATACATACATACATACATGATACACCCATTCTGTATCTATAGGACCACATATATGTATGTATAGGCGCATTTATGATGATCAAGTGGTTGTGTAGAAATCCACAAGTGTTTTCATGACTTCCACCTGTGCAGCAAGACACTTTATATAATCTGCAGTTTCATCCATCAAACAGCATGAATCCATGGTTGCAGCACCAGGTACCAGTTTCCTGAGCTTCAGTTCTTGACCCGAATACCTAAACGGATCTAAATCTTCTCTTTTAGGGTTAGGGTTTCTTCTCCTTACGACAGACACCTTTGCATGATGATCATTACTGGTTTTACTCTTACAATCCACCCTTTTTCTTCTACTACTCACCAATAAACCCTGATTTCTTGATCGGTTTCTGACCTTCCATAACACCGCACGACTCCAGGCTCTTTTTGATCCAACGACAGAAGCCATGGCGGCGTATGCTGCAATCTTGACACGATGAGATCTTCGATAAATCTGGTTTTCGTCATGGGGTGATCTGTTTTTGATGTTTAGGTTGTTTAGAGCCCGAACAAAGCGATGGGCGAACCTGTTCTTGATCAGACAGGTAGGGTTATGGGATGAGGGTTGTTGAGATGGTGACATGATGGGATCAAGAATGGATAATTTGAAAGATCTTGAATTAGGGTTTCAGAAAAAGGTGGAAATTGGGGGATGAATGAACGAATTTCTTCTGACACAAAAGCCAAGAAAACTGAAGTGAAGTAAACCTGGTTTCTGACACAAAATCTACGAGAGAGTTGTGGTTGTGTGAACAAACGTGTGAAGAGATAAAAAGAGAGAGAGAGAGAGAGAATATATGATGGGGAGAGAGAAGATTGAAAATGGGAGGTGAGAGAGAGAGAGAGAGACTTGAGAATCAATCTTTGTGTATGATTGTATTTATATTGGAAAAGCAATAAAAAGAATATTTAATTAAGGGTGGTGTTTGATTGGGTTGATCTTGACTTCAAAGGTCAAAAGTAACAGGAGGTCTCATGTTCAAATCCAAGGAAAAATAAAAATTCTCTTGTGGTCACGGAGATTCAAATACGGTGACTCCGAGCTATCTACAAAGCAGGTGATTGCTTTGGGATTAGTCGACTCGTATAACAAATTGGATATTCAGGTTAATAATATATATATATATATATATATTTCACTCATAAAAATTACAATTATTAATTATTTAAAACATAATTAAGTAGAAATATTTACACTACTTTAATAAAAAAATAGGACAGAAAATTAATAATATTAACTATTTATTTTAAGTAGTATTTATCAACTAATAAAAAATAAATTTCTAAGACTTAAATATATTTGAAATGTGAAGTGCATTGGCAAAAGTAGGTATTTGTTGGTTCAAGATACAAAAGTTACTTAAAGATTGAGTTGTGAATTAAATTTTTATCTTAATTAAAAGCATATTTGTACAATGCAACGAGATACATCTTGATTTTAATGTTTCTTTTTTTGTCTCAATTGATGTTATAATACGGTTTTATGTGTTTTTGATAAAGCGATGATGTTCTTATTTTTGAATAAAATATAAATATGAAAATATCATAAAAATTGAAAAAAAATGTTGATATTAATACTAAACTAACTATTAAATTTCTTTTTTGTATATTTTTAATGTATTTTTTTATTTTTGGCTTAATAATATAACTTTTTATAAATATAATAATTGAGTATTTTGTTAATTTGTTAGACTTAATGATTACCCTAATTATATTTTGGATTTTTATATTTAAAATGAGACGTCTATACTCTATTTGATTATGTTTATCTGCAGTTAGTTATATGAATTCAAGCATGAAACTTTAATAAATTGTACTTACGCACAATTTACTTGTAGTCTTGAATTTTAAGTAATATGCATCAATAAACAGTATTTCATGCATAAACAATGTTTTTAAGAGTTTTTGTCAAATGTTTTATAATATAGTATTGATAAGATTATATTTGATTACAAAACTGCAATTTTTCGATAGACAAATTGCATGAAAAAGTAGCGTACTTTAACTTGATTCTTATTTTGAGTAACATACTTTTAAACTTTCATTTTGGTACATAAGATGTAAAGTTTTAAACATTTAAGTACCCAGATAAACGGTTACCATGCTGATGTGAGAGTAATGTGATATTCAACTCAGTATTATTTGTTGTTCAACCTAATTTCATCTCATCACTCGTGATATCAGCATGGTAACCGGTTAATACTTCAACCAATTACTCGGGTACTTAAATGTTTAAACCTTTTACATCTTAAGTACCAAAATGAAAGTTTTGAAAGTACGTTATTTAAAATAGAAATCAAGTTAAAATACATTAATTTTTCATACAATTTGCCATTTTTCAATACCGAATGTTAAAGTTCTCTTCCTTTTTTTCTTGTAATCATCATCCACACTGAATTAATATTTAATAAAGTCGTAATTTTTTTAATCGGTTAAACAAAAAAAAATTCTATTTAAAATGCAAACGAACACTAGATATTAATTAGTTTTCAACATTTCTCAACAAATCCATATGGTTTATAATTCATTATTATTTTTATCGTTACGATTTACAGTTTATTTTTGTTTTTGTATTTATAGTTTATAATTTATTGTTAAATTCATTCCTCATACTTAAAAATAAGAGTTAAACCCAGTAAATCAATAATTACAGAAATAAAAAACACAATGATTTTATTTTTTAATAAATCATAAAAACAAAAAAAATAATTTACTCTTACAGTCATAAACATTCTAACTTCTTGTTGTGACATTGTGTGTGATATGGTTGTAAAAATAATAACGATCAAGTGTTCAAAATGATTAAGATGTTCTCATAATATAATGCAAAATGAAATATAATCGTTTAGTACTTATTTACAATGAAATTAGGCGCTTAATGGTTAATGGAGGCTCAATATACAAAATCATTCAAAGGGTTTTAGAATCATTAAGAAACAAACTTTTTTTTATCAAACAAGATTCATCTATTACCGATTCAGAGACTGTCTCTTAATAGAAATATTAAGAGATAAACGAACAACCCCTAAGAAATAAAACAGTACATAATTGTAAACTTTAGGGATCAAACAACAAAAAGTTATAAATCATTGAGACGAAAATAGTTGTAAGTTGCAAACCATAAGAACGAAAATCGCACCTTTTAACAAACTACAGGGATCAAAACCGTAACATAATCTATAATTTAATGATGGAAAAAGGGAGGTGGGGGTTGGTGTGGGCCTACAAAGGGCCAACCACCGTATGATTTGCACATGGGTTTTTGTTGCCCATTGTAATATTAGTGGACCCAATCCAATTCTATATAAATTTATCACAAAACTAGTTGTAAAATAAATGTAAAAACCAATAAATTTGACCCTAAAAGTATATTATAAAGTATTTTAAAAAAAATTAAAAATTATTTTTTGTATATGAAGTACTGTTTATTGATGTATATTACTTAAAATTTAAGATTATAAATAAATTGTGCGTAAGTACAACTTATTAAAGTTTTATGTTTAAATTCGTGTAACAAACTGCAGATACACATGATAAAATCTCATTTTTAAATATAACAAATTTAAAATATAATTAGGATAATCATTGAGTTTTAACAAATTGCTTAATTATTATCTTTATAAAAAATTATATTGTTAAATTAAAAATAAATTACTTTGTTACTAAACCTAAATTAAACTATAATAAAAAAATTGAATTTAAAAATTTACATAAAAGACTGAGAACTTTTAAATAGTTAATTTAATACTAATATAAATATATATTTTTAAAATTTTTATGATATCTTTCAATTTATATTTTTCAAAATAAAAACATTGGCACTTTCTCAAAACCACATAAAATCGTATTATATCGACATAGATAGAATAAAATGAAACATTTGAATGGAGATGTATCTCGTTGTATTGCACGAATATATTCTTCTAGTGTGTGTGTGTGTGTGTGTGCGTGTATACATGTATAGGGTATTTTCAAATGCAACCATGTCCATCTGTACAATCAATGCAACCCAATCAATTGAGATATTTATGAAAATGATGAGAGTTCATTTATTATGATTTGAATATTTATGGAAGATGATTAGAGTTCATTAATTATGATCAATACTTTATATTAGGAAACAATCAAAACTTTTATGAAATCACTTATTCATCAAATTAAATGGACGGTTGAAATTGATTTGTATTGGTTGTATATATGTAAATGATTGCATAATGACAATTTCTCTCTCTCTCTCTCTCTCTCTCTCTCTCTCTATATATATATATATATATATATAATATTCCCATAAATTTAGCAATTGTTTTATATAATTAGAGTAAACTATAAGTTATGTTATTCCAATAAATAAAATTTAGCCACCTATCACAAAAAGCTATGTTTTTTTGGAAGAGAAAGTGAATTATTTGAAAGAAAACCGAATCTAAAACCAATAAAAATTCATCGGAAATTTTAGACGGTTCTTTCAAATTCTTTCGTTTCATACATCGGAAGAACTGGAAACAGATGAATTAGTCTGGCACTCCGGTTACTGTTAGATCACAGTTTCTTTTAAAAATCAAACGATCCAGCTCTCACAAAAGATGAACAATATATCTGAGTTAAACCAATGTTTTTAGAACTGATGTTCACTTATTTGTCCTTAGTAACGATATTTGTTATATTTAAGGAATATTTTTCTATCGTTGAATATTTTCAATAAATTACATATCAATCCAAAAATATAAAGCATTTAAATCCAAATTAAATATAAAAAAAACATACGAAATTGCGACATCAGAGTGAGTTCAATTAATTTCTAATAAACAGGACCACAATCAAGTGGCGGATAAAATAATAAACGAATGAAACAAACCACTGAGTGATGCATGTTCAACGTCAACAAAAACATTCGATTTTGTTTTAATTTTACAGATAACTTGTCCAAAAATGTAGCGTTCGAGTCTTTTATGTTTAAAAACTCAACGGTTTCATTTAAAAATAATAAAGATATGTTCTCGGGATAATAAATGCTCGTATACAGTTTTATCTTCATAAACACGGGTTTTTTTTTTGTTTTTTAATAAAACATGAACTTTTTTACTTAACGATGAGGTTTAAAATATGATGATTGTATGACAAGATTCAACGGACCACAAAAAGTGGTTTTGTTAGGAAGGCTACAATCGTCTTAAGAGTAGACACTGAAACTTATAGTTTAAAAAGATAACATTTAGTCCCTGTGGTTTATTGAAAATAACATTTTTCATCTTTATAGTTTCAAAATTATAAGATAACCATCATGGTTTGCAAAAAATGTACAGATTTGGTCCCTTCCATTGAAGGTCGTTTAATCAGGTAAAAGAAAAAAAATAATAAAATGTCAAAAATACTCCTTAATTAACGAAGCTTTTCAACGACCGTCAAAGAGAGGAAACAAATTCAAACGCTTTTTACAAACCACAATGGTTATCTTGTAATTTTTAACAAACAACAGGGACCAGATTCGTATTTTACTCTTTTATTTTCTTAAGATAAAAAAAATTAATAGACAAATAATTTAGAATAACGACACATAAAAATATGCATGTTTTAAGCAAAATTGTGATTGGATTTGACATCAAGAAAAAGTACTACGTATAATTTCTTTTAAAAAACACAAAAAAAATAAAAATAAATTGTTATTGTCCTAAAAAACAATGTCAGTATTATTTGGCAAAAATAAGTTAGCTTATTTTTTTGTTATACATTTGGATGTATATAAGCTAGTTTATATTTTATTGTCA